CACATTAAACGCGACTAGAGGCGGGAATTATGTCGGAAGATGTCGGGTCTGGGTGTAGACACTTCATCTTTGGCGTGCTGATGGGCTGGGTGCTGGTGGAACAGCTCTGCTGGAATTCTCGAAGTGCAAAGCAAACGTATTGGTGTTGGTATTGGTATTGGTTCAGGGGGAAAGCAGTGGCACTGCCACAGCAGAAAGAGTGGAAAGAACCAAAGAAGTGGAGGCAATAGAAATCAGCAAAAATCGATTAGCCAGGCCAACCAATCAGCACGGAAATAAGCGGAATGAATCTGTAATAATCCAAACGAACTGCAAAGATGGAAGCAGCCGAGCAGTGCACTGCAGAGGTGGCATTGGTAGATGGAAAGATGAGTTACCTCAGAGCCGTAAGCATCTCCTCAATAATGGGGAATCCGCTGTAAGCCCAGAGTTAATCATTGCCTGCCAAAATGGTAGCCATTTCCGCACACAAACACACACACAGACACACATAAAGCGAATATATCCTTAGTGGTGGTGTGGAGGGGAAGGAGTGCTGAACTTTGAACCGGAAGCAGGCCATAAAACCATTTAGCTGATAATTTGCAATGAATATGAAAATTCCCATAACCCTCACCTCACCGCGCCTCACAGAAGAGAAGATTCAATTTGGGGGCAAAAGCAAAAGCAAAAACCATTTTTCCATTATTTTTATTACACTTTCAAGTAACTGGAAATATTGCAAATTTTATTATTCGATTGAAAGCCAGCCACAAATCGATGGAGAGCAGAAAACAGAGCCAAAGGCCAAGGGTTAGCCGGATGAGGAGGAGAAACCGAGGAACGTGTAGGAACGGATGGGCCTGTTGCCATAACATTAAAAATTGATTGTACTTATTATCGAATGAATATGGAAAGCGGGCGGATACCCAAAAAGTACAAGTCTACCATACACGAGTGCAGTACCAACCATCAGAATGATGATCCGTGCATTGTCCAGAACAAATTGTGGGTCATAAAGACCAGCCAGGCGGCAGTGAGGCGTGTGCAATTAGCCCATGTAAACCAGACGAATCGACACGAGGCTGAACTGAACATGAACTTGAACTTAAAGCGAAAGGTTAAGCAAACATGGGAAACCGAAACATATTTCAGCACACAAAAAAAAAAAAAAAAAAAAAGGAAAACTCTTTAAGAGAAATGTTAGGTTGTACAGCGGAAACAGACAATCGCACAGCATGAGGCAAGGAACTTGAGGACTCTTCAGTTTTTATTTGCATTTTATGACTCATTTTTCACGCCCCTCGTTGGATACTGCTTCTGGTTTCTGCTGTGGCAGGCAACCGAGCCGCCGCCTGTTGGTGTCAGTTGCGGCTGATAAAAGCCAGGACCAGAAGCCCCCACCCACAAAAACGAGGACAAGGACCATGAACCCAAGTTAAATTGCAGGCCGCATAATCCTTTTTGGGGCGTACTCTCCACTCGTAGGCGTTGTCCTTTTTGTCTGCCTTTGTCGTTTGCCAATAATTTATATATGGCAAAATGCTTTTGAAATGCTCCTGCGCCGGCAGAACCTACAAAGGAAATGCCAGATAATTGAAATTGATATACGAGTAGGTCCTGAAACAAAACGATGTCTGCATGTGCCGTCGCCTACGCTGTCTCTGTCGTCTCCACCGTCTCCTCCTTAGATAAACACAATGCCCGAGGAAAGCACAAGTAAATGGCATAGGGCTTTCGAATACATATATTGCGTATACGCCGCATGAACCACATTCATAATTTTGCGAAATGGAAAATGGGGTAAACACAAAATGGAAACACAAAGTAGGAAAATCCAAGGCACACTCAGTAGCAGCAGCAGCACCGGCACACACACACATGCGTAGCACGTGGACCCAAGGCATGTGGCCGTCTCCGTTTTTATTTGTTTTTTAATATTTTTATGTGTGGCCCGCATTTTCTTTATTTTTCATCTCGATATTCTTCTTGTGCGGGTGCTCTGTGTGGCGCTGTGCGTGGAAAATTGGAACACATGCGCTTCACCTTCGCCTTAATTAATATTATTTTGTAAATAATAATTAATTTTACCTCGAGCGTAGAGCACTGTGCTCGTAGAGCCAAAAATAAATAATTTCTCATAAATAAAAACAGACATAATGGAAATAATATTGTAAATTGGTGGGATCAGAAATGATAATTAACATGGGATTAAAATAAATGTGAGAAAAAGTACGGAAATTGATTTTTGATTGGAAATTAAACCAACCAAAATATATAGCGAAAAAACTGGAAAACGCAAAAGAACGCCACTGCAAGAAATCAAACTTTTCCACTCAATAAAGTTTGCCACAAAACGAAACTAACGCTGAGCAGGCACCAAACTTAACCCAACATATAGATAGATGGAAAATCGTCCATTTCTTTGTAATAATTGATGAACCCTGAGCCCAAAAATTTCCCAAATGCCAGCGGAAGTCGAAAGTTGTTAAGCTAAAATAAATCGCCTTGAATCGGATGCAATCACATAAATAATTGATAGAGCTGCTGGCAACCCGAAAACCGCCACGAATAGCGAAACGAAATCAGGGACTAAGCTCCCGCGTTAAGCATACGCAGTATGCGCCAGGCGCGAAACATAACAAAAAATATACACAAAAAAAAAGAGTGCGATAAAGCAAAAAAAAAAACCCGTCGGCGCCAGGCATCGTGCGTGAGCGAATAATTTATACACCTTTTGAAAGATTTATGCGGCAGGGCCCAAAGGCGGTGCTTGGTGGTGGCAGTGGCAAGAGTCGACAAGGCAATTCGCGAAATCAAAGCGTGAAATTCAATTAATCTAAGCAGGAGAAGCGGAAGGAGTACGAGAAGCAGGAGATGTCAGGAAGCCCCACCAGTCTGAGGTTTTAGTGGGGCATCAGGACAAACACACACTCTTGGAAATTAAGTACCCAATCGAAGATCCAGTGACTCATAATTCCCATAATTCTGGAAGCTCTTTCTCTTCACTCAGTCAGATGAATCAGTACGCTGACAAAGCACAAACAACGAGACAGTCCCTGCTGCTGCTCCTCATACTCAGATTCGTATTCGTATTTGGGTTAGGCCAGCCAACCATATAGCAGCAGCAGCAGCAGCAGCATCGGTAGGTAACGGTATCCACCGTTGTTTCTTTTTGGCCAAAAGTGAGACCCAGCCAAAAGCAAACCCAAAACAAATATACAAACAAACAAACGATGAAGCTGCAGCTGAAGCAAAAGCACAAACAAAGCGAAAAAAAAACCAAAAACAAAAAAAGTGCAAAAGCATAACAAAGTGCAAAAGTTTTGTATACCCTAACAGAGATCATAACCTTAGTGCCATACATGTTGTAAGTTTCTATTATCACAGAGCCTATAGGAAGGGCATCAGGGGTTCGTCCTTCTTGTATTTTTGTGGCTTTTATTTCGTTGGTTTTGGTGCTGTTTTGTTTATGGAAATATGCAAATAACATTGAAGTTTTCAATGGGGGTGGAGAAAAACTACAGCACGTGCACGGTGGAGTGCAGCGGCGAGAAAAGTTAAAGGAAAAGGAAAAAGAAAAAGAAAAACCTCTCTTCAAGCAGCAAACTCCAGCGATTGGTTTCCCTCCACAATTTGGCATACAGAATTGAGTGAATTTAATTGCAGTTGCAGCAGCAGCAGCTCCAGTGGCAACTCCAGCGGCAAGTGCAATGCCTTGCTTGCCACACAATGAAATCAAGTATGCAAAATGCTATACAGACAATGTCTCTGACTCTTGCTCGGTACGTGAGAATGATGCGACTAATGTTCAAATCATTTGCATACAAAATTGAGCATGTAAAAAGGGGCAAAGTCAATGCCCAGGCGGCAAGGAAGTCATGAACTTGCCACAACACAGGTTTTCCCCTCCAGTTGGGGGGGGGGGGGGGATCTGCCTGTTGCCACAGCTCATCAATCTTTCAGGTGAAATTAATTGAAATTTTGGTCAACCGCATGTAACTGATCAAATCAAAATTGAAATCAAAAGAACAGCAGATACAACAGCAAGAACAGCAGCAACAGCAACAGCAACACCAACACCCCAACAGTGAGCAAAGTTTGGCACGCAAACAATTTCCACACATTGAACAAAAATAATAAACAGAAGCCGAAAAAGAAACCAAAACACCAACAACGTCAGAGAAAAAACGCACACAAAACTAAACAAATGCTCAAAATACGATGCTGAATAATTGAACACGATACACACTACACACACACACCTACACAAACACGCACACCACACACAAACGTGTATGGAAATGAAAAATTTGTTTACCATTTTCCCCACTGCATGTGTGTGTGTGTATCTGTAGCAACACCAAGAACAACAACAACAACCACATAACGAGAGTTGAGAGTTTGGAGTTGTGACAGTTGACTAACTCTTTGCTTGTTGTTGCCGACTGTTAACGTGGAAAACTCTTTATTTGCTGCTTCCGTCAACCGCAGCGGCTGCAGCAACAACAACAGCCAGAGAGAAACGCTGTGGCTAGACAGGCCGAAGCTTTAGATACCCTCCCAGCTGTATGTTGGTGTATTCCACTCTGTGCTGACTGGAATAGATATATTATTTATCTCTTCTATCGTATGATGGAACAGTAATCCAATCTTGGGATGTTTTGGCTTGGCACTGATTGCAGAAGTTTCTTTTTCTGCACTGCAAAATTAAAGTACCCTCTTTAAGGGTATAATATACAACTGCAACAATCCACATAAGTGCAACAACCGCAACAACAAACAGCTGCAGAATTGGTTATGAAGCCGGTCATACACATGTCACAAATGTTTAATTGCATTTGCAAATTATTTAGAATAGTTTATTTGCCCAAGTACCACAAATAAAATTAAACCAAATGAAGCTTAATTAAATGGAGTCAGAATAAAGAGGATTTTGAGCTGGGACAATCTATACCTATTTATAAAATATTTTCTCTCTTGTTGTTTTATTAATATGTACGTATTTAATTACAGGGAAAATCTCTTCAATGATTAATGCAACGGAAATTCCAGTTCGCAAATATTTTTGGAAGAATGTTCAGCAAATTTATTGAAGAAGATGCCAGAAACTTGAAGCATGCAAAGAAATTCCACGTAAGTACATACCAACAATTCTGTATCTCAAAATAAATACCTCTCATACATACATACATACATATGTATGTACGTATATTCTTATCTTAATTTACACTGAATCTTCTTAGTCACAAATGACTCTTTGAAAGATGGCTTAAAAGCTCAGGGACAGCTTAAGTTGGCGGAAAATAAAGACAATTTCATCGCTTCTCTCCAAATATCGTAAGAAATAGAAGCAGCAGATAATCCAGACTGTATTTTAAATTAGTTTTTAGCAATTTTATTGCCCTAAGCAAATAGTTAAAATATTTATTGATACTTTTAGACTTCTTAGTCATCGAATTCCATTAAAATTTAAGAGAAAACATTAAAAAAAAAAACGCTTCAACGATGGTCATAAAGATGGCACAAAATACTTGTCTCAAGAGTTCCCCGAAAAACGCTTCGAAAGATACTTAGAAATAAAAATAGAACTCACCTTTGCCTGAAATGTGATGCCATGGAAGAAGGCCTGCTCTGCATGAAGGGGCACTCGCAGATCCTGATCGTCCTGCACCAGATCGTACGGCGTCGATGGCATTCTCAGATAGTTCAATAGCACCGATTCGGACCACTTGTAGTATCATGAGATGGTTTTCATCTTCCTCGTGCTACGCTTGTGCAGCTGATGGCGCAATTGCCACAAAACGCCACTTGGCCGACGCTTTGGCTGCTGTTGTGGCTGTATCTGAGGTTTCTGCTTATTCTGTTGCTGCTGCTGCTGTTGCTGCTGTTGCTGGATAATGCCTTTGCTTTGGCTCATGCAAATTGCTGGGGGGGCGACGAGCGCTCGCTCTGTGATTGATTTGCTATGTTTCTGGGGTTGCCCCTCTCTGCTCCGCTTAGCTCCGCCACGCTCACTACACTCTCCCCAAGCTCTCTTGCTTAATCTCAATTTATGAGCTTGCGGTTCCCGATGTTCAGCAAATTGAATTGCGTCAGTTGGACCAGCGATTCTTTAGGCGCTTTTCTCTTGCGTTTTATTATGAAATCTGCCCATTCACATTCACTGCCAATTCACGATGCGGTGTGGTGCGGTGCGGTGTGGTGTGGTATCTGCAAGTGGAGATGAGAGAACATAATACTTTAATAGATTAGAAAAGTAGAAAGCCATTGGAGCTTCAGTTTGAGCTTTGTGTATACTTATATTTTGTAATCAAACGTCGCGTCGTCTATCGATCTATCTATCTATCTATAAAGTGAGTCATTAAGTCGCTGATTTTGAGTCAGCTTTTGAATTCCCTGGAAGCCCCATTCACCATGCCCCATGCTAATCACGAGCTGCTTACGATTGACTCACCATTTGACTAGACAAACTCTTGGAGCGATGACACCCCAACCACCCCGCTGATCAAAGGTATCAATATATAAATATGTATGGGTTGATTGACTTTGAATTTGAATCCATCTACCCACACGTGTCGCTGTTTGCTCATTGAATTCGTAATTTAATTTATTTGTGGCATTTGTTTTTGTGGAGCAAATGTCTGCACTTTAATTGAAATCAATTGTCGATTTGCGTTTTCTATGGGACAGTTACAGAAGAGCATTTTAATGTTCTTTTTTGCAGAGGTTTCACTGTACTGTGTATGGTGATGTTTTGATTAAGTCTACCCGAAAACTTAAACTTAAAATTAAGAGCTGGTTACCACCATCCTCTCTCTGTCTCTCTTTGCCAATATATATATTTTTTTCTCCCACTCTCTCCGTCTGGGTCTCTTTATCTCCATCTGTTTATGTGTCTATCCGGCTCTTCTTCAGTTGTCTTTGTTTTGCAGCCTCTGAGGCCTCCTCTGAAGTCTCAAGTCAGTTCAAAGCCAGGCCAGAGGGTCATGGACGTTTACGCGTGTAAATGACAAAGCAGCCAAAGCGCAACAGCAACAGCAACAACAACTAACAAAAACAACAACTGAAAACAGCCGCCTTTAGTTGTTGCTTCGTTTGTTTATCTGCCTCCTTTTTGGCTTTTGTGGCGTCTCCTCGGATTGCCTGGTGCCTGGTCTCCAATGAATAAATATGCTGGAGTCAACTTTTTAAAAGTCCCATCGACACTCTCTTGCCCCCCTCTCTCTCACCCTCTCTCTCTCCAGTGATTGTTTCTCTCTGTCTCGCATTAAGTTATCAATTTGGGTGTCGATTGAGTTCAAATTGCCAACAGCTGATGCCGCCTCCGAATGGAGGGCATTGGGTTGAGGTTGGGGCAGCAGCAACAGCAGCAGCAGTTGACACTTTTCGGGGAGCGACATAAATCAGCTTTGGTTTAAGGTCAGTCGCCGCATTCACATGGGGATTAGGGGCGCTTGACCCTAAAAGTTACTTTAATAGTTGCTTCTGAATAGATAAATGGAACACACACCTCTTTGAAAGTAAGAATCAACTATTTAAGGCGATAATGGATGTACTCTAGAGTCTCCTGCAACTTCTAGTTTGCACAGAATGGAGATCTGATATCCCTAAGAATACTTCTAAATTGTTTCCAAGCTTAAGTTTCCTTTGTCTTGCTCCAATTTACTGCAGCAATGGTGCAGCCCTCGCCCACAGTCATATATCATCCAAACTGGTGGCCAAGGTACACTAGCTCTAGTCTCGACGCCATTTTGTGGCACATAGATTTACACACACAAATGTATGTATGTATATGTACGTGCATGAACAATAAGGTTCAAGTACCTCCAAAGCGGTCTGCACATGCGTTGTTCGAAAGACCCATCCAGAGAAAGGAAGAAGGGAGACAGAGCGACAGAAAGCACAGCGGCAGCAGCAGTGCACTTAACACCCACCCTGGAACCACCAGCCACTGCTCTGCCCTAGCTGGCCGCCCCCCTGCCACGAACCGCAGTGCTGCCCCTACTCTACGCATGACTCTTTTCGGATTCTTCTATCTTCTGGCTTACGTACAAACTATCGGTTTCGCATTGCTCCCTGCCTGTCGTTCTTCTGCTTCGAGCAGTGTTCTCTCTCTCGATTCCGTTTTGTTCTTTCGCCCGCACTATCAACGGCAGGCCACTGCAACTGCAACAGCGACTGCACAGCAACAGCAACAGCAACAACAGCAACAGCAGCAGCAACAACAACAACAACAATTAGAAACCCGTATCGCCCTGCAAGTGAATGACTGGCGACTCGCGAGGCTGCTGACGATGACGACGTGCTTCCAAGAAGCATTCAAGCCCAAGAGTTGGGAACCGGTTTCCATGGGCTCGACTCGACTTCGTGCTGGAGTCGAAGTCGAAGTCAAAGTCTTGGTAACTTACACGCTCACTTCCTTTCCGGTTCTTGCATGCACAAAGCGAGACAGAGACAGGGAGAAGGAGCGACGGAGAAAGAATGAGTCAGAGAGGTGTATAAGAGAGGGATGCAACTATTCCTCCTTGGCTGGCTGAGCAAGAGAGAGATGGCCACAAAACAAAACACAACGCAAAAGTCAGCTGCAGTTTCATGATACCCTGTAAAAGGGTAGACTACATACTTTTGGAAGACTGATTGCAAGGAAGAAAAGTAAATATTTTAGCATAAATACGAGTAAATTTATAATGTGGTCCTGCCATGCTAATGTCTTTCCTTGCATAGAACAGACTTTGACTATAGTTTAATATTCATTGAAAAATGTATTTCAAGGCAGCCTTCAAAAACTATTGCTCTTCCAGGGTATTTGGTGCTTCGGCCATTCCTTCCTTCTGGGGAGTCATTTCTTCTTGCATCTTTTATTTTTTGCAGTTTTTCAAGTTTTGTACTTGGCAATTACGTAGCAGCGAATGAAGCGAATCGCTTCGAAGCTTTTGTCATGCCTGAAACTGAAAATATTTACTGCGCAGCCGCGGCCGCAGCCTCCGACGAAGCTGCACTTGCCGCAAGCTGTTGCTGTTGCCGTTGCCGTTGTTGTTGTTGTTGCAGTGTCAGATTATGCAAGTTACTGGCGGGACACACTGAAAACGAAGTAAGAAAAACGAAACTGGTCGCCCGCAGCAGGCTGATATTTTACTCGAAAAACGCTGCGCACTTTTTGGAAATTGAGGCGGGAAAACTTGAAAGGAAAATATCTGCGTGAATAGTATGTTTCGCGCAATGTTTTTTCCTCAGCGAACTGCCTAATAAACAGATACAAAGCAGCAATTAAACAAATTCCAAGCGAACAGAAGAAAAAGAGATGCCTAAAAAAACGGACCAGCTGCGCTGTCTCCTGTGGTGGCTGCTCCTCCTTCTTCCGATGCGAGCCCCAGACCCGATCTGGGCGTCCGGTTGTGGTGGCATGGCCAAAGCATCAATCGTGTTTTCGATTTCGAAGGAAACTAACTGCCGCGAAAGGCAACATGCTACTGCCTTAGATGAGAGCCAAGAGAGCGAAGAACATCTCTCCTTTGTCCCGAACCGCAATCCGCAGTCCGCGATCCGCGATCGTCATCACAATTTGAGTTCTGTGTCTCGCCATTGTCGTGGCCATATATTTATGGGGCAGACAGCCCCAGACAGATATTCCAACAGCAACATCCAGAAACGAGGGAGAGCAAAGGAGAGGAGACGGCTGGCTGGTTGAATGGCTGGCTGCCTGGCTGCCTGGCTGGGTGCGATGCAAAACTTTTTGCCTGTATCTATAAGATACATTTGGTGCGAGGAGAGCCAGCCCCGCGTATGTGTGATATAAATAGCAGCGGGGCGGCCACTCAGCCTGTGCCTCCGCCTCCGCCGCAGCTCCGCGTACCCCGTGCTCTCCTCTCCTCTGACCCATAGAACGCACCTCAGCAACATTCAGATACAACATAAATCTATTGGGCAGAAGAAACGATTTCGAAACCGAAATGAGAGGGCTGGCGGCTGCCGGAGGAGAGAGAGTAGAGTAGGGGGCTGTGGGGCAGCATTGATTTTTACTTTTTTTGGGGAAATATTTTCCAACATTCTACGGCCATCATTTGCCTCTGTGTTTATTTGTTTGTTTGTTTGCCGGACCCGGACAGCCCGTCATTGGGGATCATTAGACTAAG